TTGGGCTACAACAAACACTACGCCTTCATAAGGGCGAAATAGTCACTAGTGCATAAAATAAAAGATACATGAAATAAAATTACATAAAAATGACATGACAACATCAAAAATATAAACTCCCGATCGTAGCCGTCGATCTACGATTCCTTCGCCTATAAACCTACCTAAAATGTCTGTCGATGACCTCATCACTCTAATTATGTAATTTTAAATCATGCATCTGCCTAGTTGAGTAATATTCAAGAGCATTAAATGCTTTAAGACATTGCTTACATGGCTCTAGCATTAAATTTTAGGTGAAAATCAATCCTCTAATGTCATATTCCTCATCTATCATGAATAAGAAAATGGATTTCAATGTTATTACATACAACATCTAACCAAATTTACAAGAAGCTAATCAGGCAGTTCAATCATCTAAAAAATACATTACATGGGGTGTGAAGATACACAAGTTAATATATGAAATATATGACTTTTATCATTCAAATGTATTAATCAAACAAAAAAGATAAACTTAAACGAATGATGACATGTTATTCAAATTATATTGTAATTTATAATATACAAGTTAATATATTTAAGGTTTAACCATAATTAGACTATAAAGGTAATCATACTAGCAACAAAGCATCCAATCCATTTTGTGACAATTGACATGGTTTAGTGTTCTGTAGGGCGCGTTGCATATACATAATTAAATTATTTAATCTAAAAAAATCCAAATAAAATTAATTTGAATTATGCTATTTAAATTTAAAGTTTAATATATTAATTAAAATTAAAGTTGTAACATAAATTAAATTGAACACCATCTTAATTCTAGTCACAAAATTTTAGGGGGGGGATGGGGTGTGAAGATACACAAGTATCAAAGCTACTCCAAGTTCATCCACTACCGATTGTTGCCATTTTGCAACCATTCAAGGTTCACTACTTAATATTTTGCTTCACAACAAATGAAGAGTTCTTTGGATAAAGTTAATGGCTTATTATATAATCAGTTAGCTCATTAATATATTATTAGTTTAACACTAAAGCTGAATTTACATCATTGTTGCCGTAAACTGCACGAGGGAGGGACTAAAAAGGCTTATGTTACATTTTCCATTCATAACCATTAACATTTTGTATAGGGCAAGTCAAATTGAACAATTGAAGGATTGAACCAAATGATTTGTACCAATCATAGGCCCTGAAAATTTTAAAATATAAAACAAACCACTGTTTGGGCATTTCGGGCTTCTTAGTACCACAGGTAGATATACTATGAAAAGGTGCTAATATTTATCCATGAAAATTTGAAAATATCTAGACTCAAGTAAAAAAAAATGCAACTGTAAGTGCTAGATGCATACGTGGGGTCTCCTCAGAAACAACAATAGCAAGTGGTCCACTCATCCCTTCACATTCCATTTTGCGCAAGGCATTGGCATCATGAAATGACCACCATGACGGACTTCCATGGTTGAGAAAAAGATCCCCGCTCACAGAAATGTCCTGAAAATTGAAATATGAATTTAGAACACCAAATTAATAAATGGACAACAGTGCATTTCTAACAAAATATAATTATAATCTGCTTCCCTAGTAAAAATAAACTTATCATACAGTCTGCTCAAGGCGCCGCACTTCACCAGAACTGGTAACTCGGAAATATCTAGGATATGCATTCAGGAATCTAATACTTTTTTCTGTTCCATTAAGAACTTGCTTCAAATCATCTGGGCTTTGTTCAACAAATGATTCATACTTAACAGCTTCCTTTCCTTTAGGTCTCTCCCTCATAAAAACCCATGTGAAAATAAAATCCAAGGTACCGTTCAGAGATCTGATATATCGCTGTTGAACCACAGGAGGAACCAGCCACATCGTGCTGGAATCAGATTGGCAACAGATCAACTGTATGTCTTGTACATTGAACGTTTCCAGGTAATGCTTATCAAAAAGCTCCAAAGATTGATACGGAAGTATCTCACAAAGAGCAGTCTGGAATGGTGTGAGCCTTCCGCCTGTTGCTTTAATATCAATATGAACACTTACATCTTTAATAGGATTTGCAATATTTGTTGGATTACCGCTGCTATACATCTGTGAAAAAGAAAATATTAATCTTCCAGCAGAGTTTAGGACAATATAAAAAGGAATATTATTAAAATGTAATTAATATTCAAATTTATTATGAGTTCAACTTTAAGAATCGGTCCCATTAAAGTGCCCCAAAACAAGTAGCTTATGTAGTTAAATTAATAGCTGATAAAAATGTGAGCCAATAATCTTCTTTTGTACAACAAACAAATAGAGCACCTTTCCTTCTCCGCAAACACTCTTTCTCAAGATGGAGCATATATATAAACTATTCTCACATAATTTGAAAACAGAGATATCCTAAAGCCTTGGTAAAGATATCGGCCAATTGTTTGTCATTGATAACATCAGTAATGAAAATATTCTTTAAAAAAAAAAATCTTCCCATTTTTAGCCCTGTCATAAAAAATTGAATTTTGTTAACAGCATAGATAACAATTTGAATATTTGATTATCATGATGTTAGAAAATACTTGAATATCTTAAGTAAAATCTAACAATATTGGCAACAACAGCGAGAAATATCCACAATTCTAATGGAAAACCAGAAAAATAGTAGTTTTTATTGCAATAATCAAGATAACAGAAGGAAAATACCAAGATACAGTCGATCCTCAATTCGAGAGGAGGATCTATCTCTCCCAATCCCTAGACGCCGCTAGAGCCCAAGACACAAACTCCAAGAAGAAAAACAGCCACAACAATTTTGCATGCCTGCCCTAACCCTAATGTGAACCCATAATTAAAGCAAAACATAAAAAATAACCAAAAAGGACAAAACAACCCCCTCTCACTTCCCTAAGCTGTGGACCCCACCCCCAAGGGGGCAGACAATTGAGCCTGCGGGTCAGCAGGCTTTCACCTTCTATAGGTGTGGAGCCGACCCAACCCTTGAGCCGGCTGGACCAGTCCCTCCTGGACCAGTCTAGGCGTATCAATACCCCGCTCCAAAAGAACCACCTTGTTCTCAAGGTGGAAAGTCGAAAATTGATGTTGCAACCTCTCATAAGGCTCTCATATCGCATCATAAATCTGGAAGGTCCTTCCACTTGATCAACACCTCGTTTATCCCTCCTCCCTGGCGCACCCCTTGTAACTCAAGGGGTTCCAATATCACTTCCAAATATTTAGTCAATGTTGTTGACAACTTTGAACTCGTTGTGTGATCCCCTACAACTCTCCAAAACTGTGATACATAAAACACTAGCTGTATGGTGGGGTTTGGGGGGCAACCTCAAACGATACGCCACTGCTCCAATTTTCTCTATTATCTCATAGGGAACAAAAGATCTTGAAGCTAGCTTCTCATTCTTCTTGTTAGCAACCGTTCTATGTCTATAAGGTCTATGCTTCAGGACACCCTATCCCCTGCTTCAAATTGAATATTTTTTCTGTGCCCATATGCATGTTTCTTCATAATTGGCTACACCCTCCTCTTCAATTCTTCCAAAACTCTATCCCTCTCCTCCAAGTTGATGCGGACATCCAACCGTCCATGGCTATCCGAGGAGCTGAAGATCAACGGTTGTCATCGTCCCACATTATCTTATATTTTTTTTTGTAATTTTTAAACTTTTATTATAAATTTTTCGTTTTTACTCTCACTTAAGAGGGTCATCCTATGTAAGCCTTAGGGGCATATGTGTCTTGTTTTAGTTTATAGGTCTATATATAGAGGCCCTTTCTTATGTAATGGGATGATGAATTGTTAATGAAATTTTATTCTACTTGTTTGATCTCTTAGTGAGTTCATGAGAGGAGAATGATTTCTTTGTGAGTTCCGAGATTCCCAAGATCTCTTTGTGAGTTCTTGAGGAAGTGATGCTTGTATATCTCTTTGTGAGTTCTATTGGAGGTGTTGCTAGAGGTATGTAGCTCCAGATTTTCTTTTTCCTAAACACAATTTAATCTCTTTGTGAGTTCCGAGATTCCAAAGATCTCTTTGTGAGTTATTGAGGAAATGACGCTTGTATATCTCTTTGTGAGTTCTATCGAAGGTGTTGCTCGAGGTGTGTAGCTCCGAATTTTCTTTTTCCTGAACCCAATTTATTTCTTCTCTAACTAACCAAACTCCCTTCCTCCCAAATTCCCTCCACCGCCCCCCATAAGTCCACCGCCGGCCACCCCAGGTTGATCCCGCAACCGGCGGCTCCGCCGGCCTCCAATCCTCCACCCACCGACCCTCTCTCCACCGCTCCATCATATTTGAAATTCAATTTTCAAATTTCAAATTATTTCCATATAGGGAATCCCAAATTAGGAAAGTTTCTTTCATGAATCCAATTTCAACATAAATCAAATTAGAGTTATTATTTTCTTTCCTAATATTCACTAACTATTTGTAAACTCCTATACCCCCCTCACCCAACCCACATATTTGAAATTCAAATTTCAAAGGGCATTAATTGCTTCCCCTAAAATAAGGCCAAATAATTCAGAGAGCTATTAATTGAATTTCAAATTCAAATTTGAAATTCAAAAGCTTTCCAAATACTAGCACCTAAATTAGGAAACCCCTCTTTGAAATAAAATCTGAATTTTAATTCAAATTTTCTTTAATAATTTGAATAATGTGTGGGCCCCACTTAATTAGTCATAATTCCCCTCTCCCCTCTCTCTCTATGGTCGGCCCCTCTCCATGAGCTTTCTCTCTCCAATTTCATTAATAGCCCCACTCATTAAGTCTCACTAATTACCTCCCACAATTTCCTCTCATCCAATTTAGTTCTTCCCATTAAAATTTGAATTTAAATTCAAATTTATCCCACCAATTCCACTTAATCTGAAATTCAAATGCATGATCGTTTCAATCACAAGTACTCCTCTACTGAAGAAACTAGGGTGCTACTCTACCCAAAATACACAAGGTGAGATGAATCCAGTTCGTACAACACTTTGAATGGGGTCATATGAGAAACATAATGATATAAAGTATTGTACCAGTACTATGCCCATGCTAACCAATTGGCCCACATCCGGTGTCTCTGACACAAAGCATTATAGGTATTTCTCCAAGCTCCTATTGACCACCTCCATCTGTCCATCTGTTTGCGAGTGGTAGGTGATGCTCCTCTTAAGTACTGCTTTTGTAGTCTGAATAACTCCCTCCAAAAGTGACTAAGAAACACCTTATCCCTATTGGATACTATAGCCTCTGATATCCCGTGCAATCTGACTACCTCCCTGATAAAAGTTGATGCCACTGTCACTATTTTTTAGGGGTGTCGTAGGGGGGACTGAAATGATCATACTTGCTCATTCTATTCACTACCACAAAAATCATCATGAACCCTTCCGACCATCTATAAAATCCATGGATACCTCCCACACCCGACCTGGTAGAGCTAAAGGCTATAGTAATCCTTACGGAGACATGGCAACGTACTTGTTCCTTTGATAGATCTCACATATGACTACCATCTCCTCCACATCCTTGTGCATCCCCTTCCAATACAACTCTAAGGAAAGTCTCCTATATGACTTTTGCACCTCTTCCTTGAATGACCCCCAACAGTGCTCCCATAAAACTTCTAGAGCAGGTATGGAATATGGATTGATGTCCTAGGCATCACAAATCTTCCCTAGTATAGAAGCCTCTCACCTTCTAAAGAATACCCAGGTTGGCTACTCATCTCCTTCAATAAATCAGCCCTAATCTTTCCCGACTCCTCATCCCGTGCACTCCCCTCCTTAATGGCCTCCAAATCCAGCTTCAGTGGTAACGATACTGCTATCGCCTGAAACTCCCCCATACATCAAGACAAGGCATCGCTATCTTATTCTCCATCCCTCCTATACTGGATTTCAAAATCATATCCCAGCAACATTGACAACCATCTTTGGTGCTCCTCTATTATCATCCTCTACTCCAACAAGTACTTCAGGCTCCGCTGGTCCGTCCTGACAATAAAATGACAGCCTAACAAATAGGGTCGCCACTTCTGGATGGCTAATACAATGGACATCAATTCCCTCTCATAGACTGATTTCAACCTGACCCTATCTGTCAATACCTGGATAAAATAGGCGATAGATAGATGGCTCTGCATGAGTATTGCTCCCAATCCATATCCTGAGGCACATGTGTTGTTGGAATATAATCTCCAACATCCAAAATGAAAATTATTAACTTAAACAAAAATTGAATTCTAAAATATTAAACCCAATAAATGATTGTTTTTTAGTACCTCTATGATACCCAAAATATTCAAAATAAGTGTAAGTATAACATTTCTATAAATGTGAATTCATTTTCATTAAATCTATTTTAATTCCAAGCATTTTGATATCTAGAAGTATATGTAAATTATATCTAAAAGTTATGTTAAATAATTTTTAATTAGCATTGATTTAAATGTTCTGTATTAGTTATTTTAATTTAATTAGCATTGATCTAAATGTTCTGTCATGGATTTAAATGTTCTGTTAATTAGCATTTTCTTAATGTAATGCATTTACTGAAATATTCTGTAGCAACAAATCCACTTAAACTTTCATGCATTGGTTGATCTCCTCTCCACTTGCATCCTACGGCTAGGAGAGAGTGGGTGAATCAATAGTGGGAAAAGCATTAAGGATAATAATGAAAAAATAGTTAAAGCAAAACACTATATGTATTAGTTTCTTTTTTCCTTCCACCCCGTCATTTGGTTGCTGAGTATGTCGTGAGCTGAGGAGCAGTTGCTGCTGGCCGAAAGTGAGGGAGCCGCTAATGCATGCTGTAGGGGAAGAAATTTCAGCAAATCAAGGCTGTTGTAACTATTATAGGGAAAGAAGGCTGCTGTATCTGCGCTATAGGGAAAGAAGGCTGCTGTGGCCGCTGTTGGGGAAGAAATTTCAGCAAATCAAGGTTGTTGTGGCTACTGTAGGGGAAGAAATTTCAGCAAATCAAGGCTGTTGTGGCTGCTGTAAGGGGGAATTTCAGCAAAACAATGTAAGAAAAATTCGAGAGATGTGATAGTGGCTGGAATTGTGGTTTGTCTGAAATGAATTGTTGTTTGGAATGAGTAAAGGTGAAAGACCTAATGAGGTAAGCCTACACTCCCAATTCTAGACGTTGGGAATTTGGACCGAGCCTTAAATGAGAGCGCAACTTCAATTCTAAAAGTTGAAAATCTGGACTCAACCTTGAATTTGAAAGCTAAAACGGTGTAGTAGCTTATAGTCATCACATGACTTGGCATATAACTTGTTTAATGGTGTAGAACAATTGACAAGATAGAAAGTAATATATACATTTCTTATGATTAGTATGAAATTTTAATGTGTTTTAAATTAATTGTTAGCAATATTATTATTATTTCCTATACATTGCTTGTGTTTTTCACTGAGCCTAGCTTATTAGCAACAACTATACTGCACGAAAGGGAAAATAACCAGTAGAGCACTAGCCATAAAGGGGTGACTGTTCTTTTTGGTGTACATATGTTTTGGGTGTACAAAGATATCTAAAACAAAGATTCGAGTGCTAGTTGTGCAGAGTTTTGGATATGTAAGTAAATTTTAAAGGTTTTTTTTAGTAAAACTCTGTATTTCATTTGAGATATACATTTTATTTGAGGTGTATGTTATATATGTTTTCTATAATGAAAACTTTGATGTGTTATGATTAGTGATGTTGGGATAGTTTAAATAGACTATTTTTTACTTATCTAATTCTGTTATCAGTGTTTCGGAATGGGGGTAATTAAGGAGACGATCTATTTAAATTTTTCTTATCTGTTACACTCTATATTGACTATAGGGGGTGTGACAACCTCTGAGTTTTCCCTCAGAATCAACTACTACTATTCCTCTCCTTAGCTCTTATTCAAAAAATTCTATCAAAGTTGATCCACTTCATCTTTGAAATTCCTAAAGATAAAAAATCTTTAAACAAGAATTTCATGAATTTTAAAATGAAAGCCTTTAACCAATAGTTTGATTATTTCAAAAGAAAGAAAACACTAATTAAATAAAAAAATTTCTAAAGTATCAAATGTTTGAGATGTAATTAACTATAGGAGCTTACCCCTATGGGACTTTTGTACCTCAAAATAAAATAAACCTCATTCAACCAAATATTGAATGGGGGAAAATCTCTGTTAAAATTTAAAATTGTAAGTTTTGTTATTAAGTCCATAAGGAAATGATATTTTTTTATCATTTGGGGTAATATATCATTTTTCTTATGTCGTGTTCGATCAAAAAATATGTAATTTGTTGAGAATCACAAAATTTCTCCAACAGTATGACAGATGTACGATCCCATCTTGGGGTAAAAAGTGATGCAGGTCATAAATGATCACTACCCATATAAGCAATCATAAACCTAAAGTAGCTACGATATGGGAGGGAAGGAGAATGCTAGCAAGGGTTGCATGACTAGGATGCTTGAAAACAAGTGTTCTAACTCTCGGAAGGTGAGGCAACAAGAGCAGGGTAATGTGCCAATGAGTAACGAGTTCTGGGTGGAGCACATTTAATAGGCAAGTGGAGGCAGTAGCAATAGCAGATAGCAAGACAATATGCAACAACAACCAAGTGAGAGCAAGTTTCAATTAGAGTGGCATTCGATTATAACATGCAGGTAGGGCACAGCTAGAGAGTGTGTGTGTGCGTGACCAGGACTTCTAGTTGCGACTTGCATCAATGGGGATCATACATCGAGGCTGCGATTTAAGGAATTGGAGAAGAGATGGAGGGGGGTGGAGGCATTTAGGGTCACTAGAAGACCGCTCCATTTATTATATAGTAAAAAAATGTAATATTCTAAAAAAATAACCAAGGGTACTGATAGGAAAATCCAGAAAACTGCTTGATTTTAGAAAAAAACAGCAACTATAGTGCATGTTTTGCGAAAACTGTAAGAAAATATGAGAAAAACACTTGAAATTCACCGGTGGACGAAGAAAAACAGTAAGATACAATTGATCCTCTATTCGAGAGCATGATCAATCTCTCCCAAATCTCTAGACCCCGCTAGAGCCCAAAAGAAAATTTAAATCTAAGAGATCTCAAGTTTCAGCCAAATTCAAGATGCCCTAACCCTAGGAAAATAAACTATTTAATGCATAAAATTCAAAAGAAAATCCCTAAACAGTCCCTACATTCAATTTTCCCTCCAATTCCCCTCAAAAAACATTCCAAATATGCTCAACAGGTTTCGGCGGCTCGTCCAAGAGGTGAACCTCCGCCTCTGTTCGCAAAAGTTAGTCCCGTGTAGACCAGTCCAGTGGACCGGTCTAACAATACTTCCCTTCCAAAGATCCACCTTGTCCGCAAGGTGGAAAGGCGACACCCTCCTCCAGTCCTTCATCACAAATGGTAAGAACCTGAAGAGTTCGGTCCTTACACCTGTGCCCGGGCGTATACCTCTCGTCATATCTAAAACAAAGCCCCTTCGCCCTCTTCTCTTGTAATTCCGTCTTTGTGAGCTTCATGAAGTTGTCCCCGGGTCTTCCCCCAACAGTCTTTTCCTTCAAATTCCCCCAAAGAGTATCTGATGTTGGCTCCTTGGATTTTAATAAGGTGGTGGTCATCCTGTACAGGCCTCCTGAGCTGCTGCCTCCTGTCTCTCTCTCCAGGTGCCTCTGATCCTCTACCAATTGAGCTAGCTCCATAGCCTCTCCCAAATCACGAGAACCGATCACTCTAAGTGCTGCCCGGATCTCTGGTATCAATCCTTTCATGAAGTTCCACTCTAGCACTGTCACGGAAAGGCGGTCCAATCAGCTAGCAAGGTACTCAAACCTCTCCAAATACTCTATCACCGAACCATCCTGCGTCAAGGCGAAGAACTACTCGTAGAAGTCTCCTCCTCTGTCGGTTTGAAAATCTTCTATCAAACAATCCTTGAACTCCCTCCAACTCCATATGAGTCGTCGCATGTCCCTCCATTGCTACCAACCCAAAGTCTTCCCTTCCAAACATAGGCCTGCTGCCGTTAATCACTCATCCGTCAACCCATTGACAACGAAATATCTTTCAGCCTTATAGATCCACCTATGCGCATCCTCTTCCTAAAAAATAGGCATCTTCGGCTTCATAACCCTCAGATCGCCTATGTTCCCTCAGTTTCCTTCATAACTTTCCCTTCCGCAAGGGGATGGTCCCCCCAAGTGTCCCAATCATCCCTTCTATATTCATACCCCAGCCTTTCATCAAATTTTCACCTTCTCCTCTTAAATTTAGCACCCCTTGGATCATAACAAACCCCTCCCCTTTCAAATTCAGCCCCCTTTTGGTCATAATTACTCATTTCCCTTTCCAATCTTGCCCCTCTCCTCTCCAAATCAGCACGTCTTCGTTCTTGCCTTACCTCCTCACGCCTCTCCTCATACCCTCTGCACGGCTCCTCCCAAGGAATAGGCTCTAGGAGAGTTATTCTTTCTTCTCCCTTTCGAGTCGCCACCTCCTGATCTCCCCTTTGCCTGATTGGCTTAGGGTTTTTCCCCCTCCAACAATGATATTTTGGTTTGGCGCTCGAGCACTTTCTTCAACATTTTCTCCAAAATGGAAAATTTTGAATCAAACTTATCATGAATGGCTGAAACATCCTTTTTTAAATCTAAAATTTGTGTTTGGAGATCTGAAATTTCATATTTCATTTGTCCAATCTCCACTTCGAGGTGTTCCTCCAACACATCCATTTTCTTGCTCGCCATTGATGCCCGGATTTTTGTAGAAATAAAATTATAGACTTTGACCTTAAAAAAAGCAACTTTCTCCTTCACCAGTCAAAATTCAGCCGCTAAAATTTGCCAAAATCATCTCACCAATGGTCCAAAGACTTGCTCTGATACCAATTTGATAGAAAACAACCACTACAAATCCAAAAAACTGCTGGATTTCATAAAAAAAAGTAACTATAGTGCAAGTTTTTCGAAAATTGTAGGAAAATATGAGAAAAACATTTGAAATTCACTGGTGGATGAAGAAAAATAGAAAGTACAATTGATCCTCTATTCGAGAGGAGGATCGATCTCTCTCAAATCTCTAGACGCCACTAGAGCCCAAAAGAAAACCTAAATCTGAGAGATATCAAATTTCAGCCAAATTCAAGATGCTGTAACCCTAGGAGAACAAACTATTTAATGCATACAATTCAAAAGAAAATCCCTAAATAGTTCATACATTCAATTTTCCCTCCAAATTCCCTAAAAAAATCTTCCAAATCTGCTCAACAGGTTTCGGCGGCTCGTCTAGGAGGCGGATCCTCCGCCTCTGTTCGCAAAAGCCAGTTCTGTGTGAACCGGCTAGACCGGTTTAACAGGTACATCACTCATTAAATACATACCTTTTTCAAAACTTTTACTTCCTTATGTAAGATGTATTTTTTATGGCAACAATTCCCTGGAAAATTAAGGCACTATTTTAAACCAACTATCCAATAAAATGTGCCTATGCAACTGCCATAGCGCACAAAATATTAACGCACAAGCTGATGAATGGATTTGATATATATTCATACATGGCAAAAAAAAATCACGCAAACCAATTTCTAATGAATTCCGCTAGCTTAAAAAAATATTAGAAAGTGATGCTGAAACAATAGAAAGATAACAAGAAAGATCATAGGTTTGATAATGTTTTATGATTGCTTTATCATCACTGATAAGTTGAAAATGAAAACATTAGACGATGAACAACATAAAAAAAGATCGAATGAAGCGACAAGTGGTATATATGTTGTAGAGAATAAGTTCGTAAGATATCTTCTATATCAGAAAATCATTAAACAGGGCCAGCAACATTCCTTTTCCAACAAAATGGATATAAGATAAAATTAAGAGAGAGAAACAGCGAGGAAGGTTCATACCAACATAGGGGCCCAAATGACACATATCAATATGAAGAATAAGCATATCCCACTGCAGAATTTTGTCATTCTGCTCTGCTTTTGTCCTTGTTTATGAGAGGCTCTATTTAAAACAGCATCACATTTAACGAGAAACAAGCTTGAATAAATATCTTCCAACTATCAAGAAAACCAACATCAGTTTCAAAAAATAAATAATAGGTTTCAACAAATTGAGCCTAATCACAAGCTCAACATATTTTCTTTACAAGTAGTATAAATATCTTGAGACAGGCAACATTTTATTTGTCGAAGCACAATGTCCAAATCAACTTTTATATCAAGAAGATGGCTATTTGTCCAGCAATGATAAAATAACACTTAGCTTACATGCTAAATAAGCATAAAAATTTTTCACGAAAGTGTAAAAATGCAACATTCCTGACGATAGTTCATAGCTTGACTGTGTCAGCAATAAACATTACAATGAAAGGTAATATTAACAAATACTAGTGGATTGCACATCAAATGATTTTTATCCCACAACTCATAGCATAACTATTAATAGAATGTCTAAAACATTTGTAATATGCCCACAACTTTCTTGAAAGTGCTGCGTTATCAATTTATACGCTTATTCATACAGGAAAAAGATACTGACCGAAATTATTTTTAATTACATTTTTGGCTTCAATGCAGGTAAAACTTAACATTGGCAGCAACGTTTCAACATGGTGGTTAAGATGAAATACAGCTCAAAAAAGGAATTAATGGAAAAGAAAAAAAAATTACCCAACATAATTGCGATAATGTTACTGCACGTGCTGATCAAATTGTAGTATAATTAGCTTATCCAAAGAGTTCAGGTAAGTTTATCAAGGAATACTCAAGGGAGATCCACAAATTAGGACCCATTTTGGTAGGAATATCCTTCTTAGGGACCAATTCTGGTCAAATTTCTAGGATGTTTTCATGTTTGGTCCGTGCACAGCAAGCATTGGAGTCTTCCACATCAAGCTTCCACAACTAAAGGCTGATAGATGCATAATTTTGTAGTTACCAATCTTCATATGTGTATTAGAAGGTTTAGGGTACAATATTTACACATCCGAGTATATGTACAAGTACAGTTTCGTATTTAATGAAAGTTTATGGTTTTGCGGCTTTTTTATGATATTGAAAGATTTAGTTTAAATTTTTTATTTTAAATTATTATGAAAGCTCTTTCTAATGTATAGCAAGCTCAAAAGTTTAGTCATGGCAATCCATTCTCACCTCAATTCATCCAAACTCTCAAACTGGGCCATGACTCACCATTCCATAAAGTAGTCAAATCTACCCCAGGTCAAGGCCAAGTAGCTTTAGAGGACCACCAATTTTTAGTCATAACCATGCCACAATGGCCACATAGTTCTCTTAGGAATTGCATCAAACATGTCATAACAGTGTTTCTTCAAAGAGTCTTAATCAACCTGTTCTTATAACACCTTGTTTCAAAGACACGAGAGTTTCAGTAAAATTATATCTACCGAACGGAATCTTACAATCGCACCCAACATTGATAGAATGACTGCCCAAGATTATACCCACCAACTGATTTCATAAATGCATCCTGGGCATTGAGAGATTACAACTGCACTCAAACTCTTAAAGCACTCAGCCTCAGCCCCAGCCCCTACATGCTCTTCCACTTAAGGTGAATGGAATTTACTGTTCTAAAAAGTATGAGCAACCCATCAAGCAAAGCTTTTTAAACTCATAAAACCTCTCACAATAAAAAGCTGCATAATAAAATAGTAGCCAATCGAAACCATAGGCAAGTAAAAACTATGAACTGAACCATTAACATATTCCCGAAGTGATTTCAATGTTGCCCTTCTATAAATTATGTTTCTATGAGTTCAAATAATAAGAAATGTTGTTTCCAATAAATACAAAAAAGATCCGAATCTCCATTCATTGATTGAACAGGAATGAAATTTTATAATTTCTAGTGCCTGTAAACTGACATTAATGTGGACAAAAAATAGAGATAAAACCAAATAAAATGTGAAAAGCTAGGGTGCAAAATAGGGAAGAAAACATAAAGTGACCCATAAGAATGTAAATATGTATTTTTATTTTGTTGTTGTACAAATCAAGTTCTGATAATAGCAAGACCATTAAGAATAGTTGAGTATAAGAATATTTGACTAAATACATGTGTTAAGAGAGTTTTACCTTTAGCCAATCATACATAGTCAGAGAAGTAGTTGTGCATGACCAGTCTAGTACGCATCTGAGTTCATATAAAAAAGGAAGAGCGCGATAGAGCCGGAATCCCAAATAGTTAATTTGTGAAACTTTACTAGTCAAAAACTGCCTATACAAAGTACTTTTATTCGGAATGCCATAACGAATTTGCACTGCTTGCAGTGCCAAGGAAACTGCTTTCGTGAGATAAATGGCACGAAGGGCAAAACCTCCAATGCGCTTGTGGGATGGTTGCATGTACCAAGCATATCTAGTGACCGAGTATGTAAAGAGGAATATATTCAAAAGATACAAAATGATCTTTGCTGTGGTGAAAGAACACAAGTAAATAATGCGGTCGAGCACAATTAGAAAAAAGAGGACCTGCAGAGATAGAAAATAAAGATACAACTAAGAAAATGTTCACATGGTAAGATTAACATGAACAAACTAAAATTTAAATGAAGAAGAGATGTTTTCAAACAAATTAAAAACTGAGAAAGACTTTCAAATTTGTAACTTCAATGACCACATCCTCTGATAATTTTTCAAGTTAAATACCTCAAGGCATGCTTACCATTAAAATGAAAACAAACTCTTTCGGAAACTGATCCTCTAGTTGATAAACATCAAGAAGTTTGTTTATGTTTTTTATAACCGATTGGTAGAAAATAGCCACCAGAAAGAAAACTGTTAAGTCTACACCAAATATGTATGCATAAAGGTCCACTTCTTTTTTGCCACCTCCAATCACTGAGATAACAGGATATGAAAAACCAATCTCCTCAAAAATTCCCGAACTCTGTGCCAAAAGAAGCTCTTTGGCAACATCTGAAGCTGGAGTCAATGACCAATACCACTCCGCTGCAGGACATTCTGCTAAAGGGGAAGCATACATGACTTCAAGAATAGCAAGAGCAATATCTGAATTTTCTTGACTTCTCTCGATGCTTTGAATTCGTACCCTGCTAGAAGAATGCCTTGAATTAGGAATATTAGCATGGCATATGTCTTCATGAACTATCTTGAGCAACCTATTAATTCCTGATTCTATCTTCTGTGGCTGAATGCCATCATCTGGCCACTTATTAACCATCATTGACAATTGCACAAAATATGGAGGAGATTCAGATCCTCTTGTTAGAGACATCCAGTATCTTGAAAAACTTCTTGCTATTAGTTTTGCAAGGTTTGTTAATGGGAAGAATAACTGCATAAGTTTCTCTCTAAAACTATAGCTAACAGTGATTTCCTCTGGATTATGCTTTCTTCTATGTAAGAACTTAAACTCCAATACCGGTGCCCACTCACCATCTTTAGCAGTTATTGAACTCTGAAGAAGGGTTGAAACATACACCAGGAAAAGTGGAAGTGTACTAATTACAAAAGATGTTTTTATCTTGTTCTCAGGAAATCCCAACAATTGCAATAAGTCTATATGAATACTTAAGCCACAATGTTGGATGATAATCTGATATAAGTATTGGAGAAGTATATTGATTTCTGTGTAAATTAGCATAACCACCCAAAAAATATAACTAGGACCTGAATTTACACAAAGAGCATATAGGAAAAGTGCTGCGAGGTAGATCATAGAGAGTAAACTGAAATTCCAAAGGAAGATAAGAACGAAGAAACAATAGCACACAACATCATTATTTGATCTCATTTGTGACCATATATAACGAAATATTCTTCGAACCTGCAAGCTAGCTGGTGGTGTTTGGTCAGAATTAGAGAAAGCAGAAGGTTTTCTATCCAAACAACCAGATGCTGCATTTTCCTGGCTCTCTATTTCATAATATATCTCATCTTCTGGCAAAGAATGGTCATTTGAATCATTTTCGTCAGGCTTAATGTTTAAGAAATTTGCTATGTTTGTGACTGCTTGATTTCCCAGGGATTGGACTTGAGAAACACCATCACCCAATAGCTGCACAGCAGAAACTAATGGATTTTCCACACCCTTCCTTTTCCTGCTTTGATCCGCACAAGCTTCAATATTAGCATATCTTTCAGGGAGTTCACTTATCTCAGAGATGGATTTTGAAGGAACTTTCAACAATTCCATTGTCAATGAGCTATGCCTTCTTGCACTGAATGGTGAACCATCGATATCTAAAGCTTCTGGAGTCAGCGAACCATTCTTCAATACATTCGATGCAGGAAAGTAGAAGGAACTTTCTAACTCTCCACTAACTTCCTGATCCCACATGGTTGACTTAAACTCATTATCCAATCCATTATCACAATTGCCGATATTCTGGGAAAAAGATCTCCTTTGACGTAGACCCTCATTGTGTGCAGAAACATCAGTAACATTCCCGGAATAGTTCATAAATTTAAGTTGGGTTTGCAAGTTGAGCATCTCTGACTTCATTTTTTCCACTTGCACATTGCGGTGACGCTTGTCCTCCTCAGATTTATGAAAATCCTGCAACTGGGCGGCTTTCCGTGCAGCCCTCTTTTCTTGTTCTCGTACCATAGCACCGACTTGCTCAGTTTCAAGGTATCTCGCAACATATTCAAATTCTTTGGAGCTGAAAATGTATGATTGCATGGAAACTAGGAGGAAAATGATAATTTCAACCAGTGCAGACCGCGATTTAATTTCAAACCCATAATCATATTTATAAAAACCAATAACCTCATAAATATAGTCCACAGCGCCACATTTACTAGAACTAAAATCCCCAAGAAAAGGAGATTGATAAGCTAGAGAAAGAACAATAAGAATAAGATTGTAAATGCGCAAATATCTGAAAATTTGGTTCTTCTTTTTCAAAATTTCAAGCCTCATTCGAAAGTAAACAAGAGCAAATCCAAGGTAGCCGAGGTGAAGTATATCATATTCCATTGTTCCAGTAATCAAAATCAAGGCAAGAACAATGTCTAACAAATGGCAATATAGATATAACCTCATATAATCAAGGAAGGTCCAGAAGCTTTTAGTTTCAAATGACAGGTCTCTCCAAACTGATGCATTTTTTCTTTGAGACATCATCTGGTGATAGGTATGCGACTCTGAAAAGCCATTCAAATGATCTGAACGGAGCTTAAGGGAGGAAAAAATAAATACCAAATAATAGCTGACAAGTGTTCTTGGATCATCGACAACTATCCCTGCAAAGAAAATATCCAGTCACGAATTTCATAAAAAAAAGCACAAAATATTAATGACGATGAGCATAAAAAGTGAATAAAATAAAAGAGTTCAACAAAGAGGTAATACCAAGCCAACATTTTGTGCAATAGTCAAAATAAAGACTAGAGCTACTCCAGCAGTCATGGCAACGGACCCTTGCATCCACTGGAAAATGAATCCAAGGAATACGATTTTTCCAAAAGGCAAAATATTCGAGCACAAGGATAGAAGCAAATGCTAAAACAAATATTGGCCACAATTTTCGGATGGTATCTCGTTGCAAAAAGATGCATATGACAAGACATGTTATATAAAACAATGAGATGGCATTCAATGCCGTAAAACTTGCCACAAGCAATACAATCATGTTGATCTCAAGACCATGGAGTCTGAAAATATTTTCGATCCAAAACTTCATATATATAATCAAGGTAGTTTTCTGCATCTCAAGCCTCTCCTTTCTCAAAGCAAGAATAATTTTCTTGTTCCATTTATGACTCTCTTTCGAACTACCCCATAAATAACCAAGTGAATATTTTTTTGTGCAAATAGTTGAACTTCTCATGCTAGGACCTGGATCTGATGTTTGATAACTTTTGGAGCTGATGAAAACACCCACTTTTTTTGAACAAAGAGGACTGCTATCTACCAATGGTGTCTTTTCTTCATCACGATCGAGGAGATTTTCTGAATCATGTTCAGTAGCGACAAACAACTGGCATGGTTCCTCCCACTTCCCATTATTTAATAGACAGCTTGGCATCTTCTCTAGCCAGTGGAAAACGTTGTATTGAAGGGTACACGCCACTATAACCATAATATTTCCTCTCAAACCAGACTCAATTCCCCAAAATCCAGGTTTAAATAACCTAAGACCAAGAAAAAGAGATAAACCATATAGCTTTTGACCTGGGAACATATGTGCTTCCTTGCCCCACAACTGGAATAGATATTCAGACATCACAAGAAGTCCTGAATAAAGTAAGACCAGCTTTGATGGAATCCGAGAGGTCTTTGGTAAAATCGAACAAATGATGAGACACAACAAATAAAGAAATCCAAATGCGCTAATAGGAGACAAAGCAGCATAAAAAACTGCCACAGATAAAATCTTTTCACAATGCCATATCAGAAACCTTCTCACAAACCCAAGAAACCCTGTTTCAGATGCATCAGATATCTCAAATATCCCATTATATCGGCTCTGCCTTCTTTCATAACTGTAAAGCTGCATTACAATCAAAACAGCCAAGGATTCCCAAATATTCTCTACCAACGATGATTTAGGATTGTAACCCAAATAAGCATAAAGATCAATCCATTTTGATAAATAACTCTCAAGACTTTCTGACGTGCTCAAGACATAGCTAAAAACAAAAACAATAGTTGAGTAAAGTTTTAATGGAAACCAAAGTCGTCTTCTGGTTTTCCCAACAAGTTGTCTTCCTATTATCCAAAGGAGAAGGAAAAAAAGGTAGCCAAACGATAAATAGTTCGGTGTAACAAGGTACAATGTAAGAAGGATGGTCAAGAAAACCACATATGTTCCATAGGAACGATAAGTAGACAAGCATTTCTGACTAACTTTACTCAGGTAAGATGCTATCAACTTCTCTGCAGGAAAACATAAAAAGGAAACATTAATCTTGACAAATAGAAATCTGGATATGACTAGAAGATTGAACCAAAAATTCAAAAGTACGCATCCACATACAAAGCAGAAATCATAACAGACAAAAAATTACTAATGATTTTGGATTTTGAATTTACCATGTGAGGTACCAGGAGATGGGCCATCCCAGGAGTTTTGTGCTGCATAAACTGATAACAAAACAGATTTATTCAAACCAGCTTTCAACATGCTAAAACCAAAGGGAGGATGAGGAGTATGTTGCACAATAGAAGATAATGACACAATCATCTTCAGTCCATGGTGTTGGATCGCACAAAAGCATAACAGTACACTGATCTCTATAAAATCCCTGGAAGAAGTATGGGTTGTGATTCCTGCAAGAAATAATCCTAGAAGACATCAGTTTCATTGATAATTGTTTCAGAATATAACCGTCGTATTGGTGAAAGTAAAACAACAAGTCTTTTCTATTTGAATGAGCTAGAGTTAGTTGAAATTGGTCAGTCCAAGTCTATCAATTTACTATAATTCTAGTTCTTCTGCAGAAAATCACTAGAATATACAATACAAAACATTCCACATAAGGTATGTTCCGTTGTTCTCACTATATGATGGGCATATCATATGGCGCAAGAAAAATGCCTATTCTTTTTCTTGAGTTCAAGGATAAACATAAGCTCCATCCTCCGAATAGAACCCTATAGCAAGTCCCATAAGTTATTTAGAATATAGTGTATAACATGCATAAAAACCAAGCCTCTAATTGCCTATCATAGGGTAATCAACCCATAACCAACGACCACATCATGTCCATCAAAAGGTACTTTATGATGGATCATTCCCTAAAATCTAGTTAGTATCAGCATATGAAATAAAAAATCAAGATTTTTAGTTTTTTCATAAGCATATTTATGCTTATCCTCCAAGTACAAACACGAGCAGTCATCTGTAAACAACAAAACAAGGATAATTGTCAGCTAAATAATGAATTTTACTTTTTCACAAGTGTGATACTTGACGAAGAACCAGTTGCGTCATGTCAATTTCGTTGATCAGTGCTTAATGTTTAATTTTTCTTTTTCCCAAAGCAATCTTTTAAACTCTAGACTAATCTCTAATAACAGTTCTTTGTTGTGCTATTTGATAGGATTTAATCAGATCATCTACATTTCAAATTAAAGTTGTATGGATTTTTAACCTTTGTTTCTTTTAGGATATTAAATCTTGCGACTTGAATTTCTATTTGGAGAGATCTACCACAAGCTTCAGGTGGATCTAAATTCCTTTTACTATTTATTGCTCATAAATAGTGGCAAATAATTATTTATATTAGATTGCTTACGTCCTAATGAATATTTGCAAGATTGATCTTGCATCTGTTTGTGTAAGATTGTGTTGCTTCAGCACTGTAATGGCTTCATTGCATATTTCCTTTAGTTTCCATCTCATAACATTATTTTCATTTAAGAAATCCTATATATTTTTATGTCCTGCATCTTATTTAGTTAAAAAAAATCATTTCTACATCATCTAATAAATCACCTTAGTAATGATCTGTTGTATCATTTGCATAAAAGCTGACCACCAAATGGACATAACAAGTTCCTTTGTGAATTAAACCCATGAAAAGGGTCAGGTGGACCTTGGAGGCCACATAACCATAAGAATATATGAATGTTTTCAGGATCATTGTGCAACGAACAATATAAAAGAAAAACTAGCCAAACAAACAAATTTCCAAGTTCTATAGCCCAATACAATCTAACACCCATCAAACCATCGTTGAACTGTCCTCCATGATTCCTAGTCTTGCACCTCATGGATTATCCATCTAATGGGTGAAGATATCCATCACGAGATCTCAATTTTGATACCTAGCTTGTAGCCTTATGAATAAGCAAGAATGAAAATAAACTTGTTTTCTTGTTTCCACCCCTCCTGGAAAACAGGATATGAAACCTCCTGTCCACTTGGGCTTCCATATAAAATAAAGTAAATTTTATCTCAAAAGACTATTTAGAATATATAGTAATGGCATCCTTGTCAATAAGACTGGGAAAGGAGGTTAACTCGGTTGGAGAAATCTGTGATAATGCTCTTAAAATAAGATGAGAATATGATATCTTGCTCAGGGCTTAAGACAATAAGGGGAGGTTTTGAAGGCTCTAATTCCATAATTCCATCAAGTTTTGTTCGAAATTTTGTCTGCATATCTAAACTGAAGAGGGTTGAATTGCCTCCGCCACAAGAGATTCACGCCACAATAGCTTTGTGCCCTATCGTTCATATCCTATTGATTCACTTTTTTATCATTTTTAAATAGAGAAATGGCAAAGAAACTGAAACAAAGAGAGAAATAGAGAGAGGGGGGAAGGAAATAGAAAGATAGAAAGAAATAAAAAGAGAGAAAGAAAGAGCGATAAAAAGAAATAAAAGGAGAGAGTGAAAGGGAGGTTGGTGGTGGATTAGAGCTAAGGCGCAACAATGATGGCAGCAATGGCTAGGGCGGATGGCTCGGGTGAGTGAGCGGGCAGCAAGTTAGCTATGGCGACAAAGTCGAGCTTCTGCATTTGGTGAAGAGAAGGGTCATGAGCGAGGGAGAGGAGCCTACGAAAGAGAGGGAAATCAAGAGGCAGAGGATGGAGAGGAGGAAACGTGTGCGAGGTATGGGATGGAGAGGGGGCAATGTAGGATATAGGTAATTTTTTCATTCTATTTTTTTGACCAAAAAATATTTTTTCAATTGTTTTGCATCGTGTTTAGTATTAGATAAAGCGGATGTTTATTCATTTGATAATGGTTGAATCATTTATTTAATAAAAACATACATATTAATTATTATGTGTTTTGATACATGTATAACGTATGGATCTTTGTCTTTATGAATGACAGGCATGGATGTTGAGACCGATACTAAAGGATGAATCCGTGCAAGAATAGCAACACATTAGATCTTATAGTAATAAATCCATATATTTATGTAGTGGGAGAGTGTTTCCATTTTGGTAGGCGGAAGCATCATTCCCGTGGAGAGGAGCATATGGGAGTGAGATTTATGTGGATCCATATGCCTATCTAGGTCTTCATGGTTATTTGGGTCTACCATTATGTCATTTGTCATTTTATCCCAAGATTAAATGCTAATAGTTGTAAGGGATTTTCCTTGTTGATTGAAAGCATTGTTGGTTACTTATGAATGGAGTGAATTTTTTTATGCATAATGCTTAGCCAATCCTTAAAATATCATGGTCCTGCTGGTAGATTGTATACTAAGCCATAGTTTTGCTCACTCCTTTCAAATAATTACATATATTGAATAATGTCAATATATGAGAGTGAGGGTATATGTATTTTAGTACTGTTGTAGTGGTACCTTGCATTAAGAGTTTGATATTTTTCTTAATTTCAATGTGAGTGTTAGGATCATACTAAAATAGTTGAGATATTTATTCCCTCGTATTCAACACTTATTTTGGACTTGTACAAGTTGTTTATTTTTGTGGACTTATTTATTATTCTTCTAAATTTAGTTGAGTCTACTAGGGTATAACACGCCATTATAATAGATAGATCAAATAGAATGATCAAAGATTCTAATCCATCTCTTGTGTTAGAGATTTAACATAAGATCATCCAATGGAGTTAATCTTAAAGGTTTACAAATGAATTCATTTTAATCTTCAGAACCCAACTCTTTGTTCGGGTGTCTTAAGGTATGTAAACCCTAACAAATTATATGATGGCAATGTTGTAACATACGTGATGATGGATCTAACCCTAAAATCTAGTCAATTTTAAGTTACAAAAAAAACAAACATTAGTCTAAAATTTGATAATCTTTCCTAATTTATATTTTTCCTACTAATATAATAAGTTGTTTACTATAAACAAATAATAATTTGCAATTAAGTTAATACAAAGTTTTCCTCGTAAAGTAAGTCATCTTGTCCCTTAGTGAGAAGTTTGAAGAAAAATTGATGCATTTGTACTACTCACCACTATGATTCTTAGCGCTTATCATTTCCTTCATTCCATTTTTTCTAGCTCAACCCTCTTCTGAGTGCTGATGTGTTTCGATTTCTTCGGATATTGTGCATTTATAATCTAATACCATGCAGCTTGAATCTTTATCATGAGAAATAAAATCACCCGTTTCATGAGTATAAAAAATTCCTTTACTTCTTTTTTTTCTTTTCATTTTCAAGGATAGAAATGTTATAATTAATAAGGTCTGCACAAAGCCGGTCACAAAATTTTTGGGCGCAAGTCTAATTAAAACTCATGCATATAGCAAAAAAATCTATCATATTGCGGATACAAAATTTCAAATCCAAAAGTTGAGCCCTATAAACAAAGGAGGATATTGATGCATTCAATATCTATCAGCATATGTTTTATGATTCGAATGCTTTTAATTTTTTATTTTGGTCTTATGTAATTTGGAATTTTATGTTTTATTTTATTTACCCTATGATGAAAAGCTACCAATGAACATTTTTAGGATTGATGCTCTTAGGACATTTCACTCCTTTGATTTGCTAGCTTTCTTTGTTTTTTTGGGCATTTGTTATTGGGCTGAAATTCTCCTTTTGTTCTTGGCCTATTTTGCTATGCCTATTGGGTTTTCTGGCTGTTCGGATCCTGAGCTGGCTGTTGGGTTTTCTAGCTATTCGGATCTTAGGCTGGTTGTTGGTTTTCTGGCTGTTCGGATCCTGAAATGGCTGTTGGTTTTCTTGTTGTTTGGTTCCTGGGCTAACTGTGCCTCTCTCTTGGGTATTTCCCATGTTTTGGCTGCTTCCATTGGAGGCTTGGGTGGCACCTTTTTGGGGGATTGTTTGAATTCTCTTTCCCTATTTATAGGGGGTTGTTTGTTGCTGTTTAAAGGTTTTTTAATTATTGAAAATTGTTACTAAACCTGAGGATTTTCTCTTCCTAGCTTGAGAGCTACTTCTTTCCTACCTATTTCTTCTTCTAGTCTTCTATCTATTTCATCTCTCCACAAGTACCTTTCCATTGTATCTTTCTTCTCTACATAAATTGTGAGCGTTGTTGTTAGTATTTGTCGAAGGAGTGCTGACGGGTGTTAGATCAAGATTGTTGTGATGGACCCCTGGTTTGAATGTTCTTTAGAGCACCTAAACTTTCTTAATTTTATCGATACATGCGAGGTAACCTTTAAGGTTGTTCTGAGGTTGTGTTATTTATAATTTTGTCTTTTCTTTCTAAGTCCTCTTTTATATTTCTCGCATCTGTTTATTTCTTTGTCGGTGATTTATTTATTTATTTATTTTGTTGAATTCTATTCTGTTTGTCCCTAGTGCTCTCCTTCTTGGCTTTTTAGAACTTAGGATCCATCAGATATCCAGTTGAGCCGAGACCCTTTAATAGATTCCTTTGCCTTCATCTAAATCTTTTAATAGTTGATCTTAAAATTGATTGCATTAGTTGGTGTTACATTAAAAAACATCCTTGAATATTTTATTCCATATAATTTCCCGCCATTGCTTTAATTTTCTTTTAAAACTTTACATGGCATGTTCAATTCAGGATCTACAGACAAACCAAACTTGGGTATTGCTTTTAGAAGCCCAAAACAAACCAACAACTCACGCATTTAGACTTAACCTATACCTATGGACCAGATCAGGCTGTAGAAAGATGTTATTAACATATGGAACATTAATTATCAGGCTGTAGAAAGACTCTCTCTTTGAGAATTTGATGACTACACAACATCTTTCAATTAGTGCCATACACAGGATGGGGAAGAGGTATGAACCAAGTGAGCTGATACAGAAAAGAAGAAAAAACTGAAATCCTGCCCTGTGCTAAAAATAGAATAACTGAAAAATGATCATCAATGAAAACTGGTAACAAATTCAATATAATTTGAATTACAGTTAAATAATTTATTTGGCCACAGGTCCTGCAGTGGTATTGTTTGTTGACAAAATTAAGCAAAACTCGTGCTTTATTTCGCCACTAAGTGAAAGCCGAGCTTACAAAAATAAAATATGCAGCAATAAAGAGAATATGGCATCTTACCTAATTGCGACAAAACTAAAATGGTCATAGAACCACGTTGCTCCAAGGTCTTCGAGATTAGGTCCAGCTGCAGGAGATACAGCAGAGAATAATGTGCCCCACAAAAGAGAATTAAAGCTTGGTGAATCTTTCTGGTGATTGAATGGCTCAGTAGGTACAACAAAAAGAAGCACACTGAAAAAGGTAAATTTTTTACATAATTCAATTTCATTAGAAATTATAAGCAAACAATTAAAAAATGAAATGAATTAAATAGAACTGAAGATAATAAGAAATCATCAGAAACAAAGAAAATCACATTCACGATAACTTAATGTTATCTCTGAAATCAAGAGAGAACTTAAGACAATTACTTTATATTTGTTCTTCTGATTGAGAATAATTTGTACTTCATCCTTCTACATTTTTTAAAGGGCTCGTATTTTGGTAAATAAAAGAAGTTTTAGATTTCAGCCAATTAGTTGTAACAAAAGGATCAGATAGAAGCAACTTTACAAGGATCCTAAGCTATGTTAAACATCTAGTCCATGCATCAACCCTCCTACGGCCTTGGATTGGCAAAAGCTCCATGCATTGGGAATGACACTTTTGTATCAAATCTAAAAAATTAAGGGCATGATTATTTCACCATTTAGTTATACAAAAGGACATATTCAACTCTCTATATATTGTAGGTTAATTGTAAAGGGGAAAGATGAGAGTTAAATAACATATAAAAGAGAACAAAGGCATTGCTAGGTTAATTGCAATTTTTTTTCCTCACAAGATCAAGTTATTTTTCATCACTGTCCTAAATGTAAAGGAATCGTTAGGGTAGATTGAGTTTGTAATTATCAAAGCTAGTTTTTATAACAAATTACACATGCACTTCTAATTCTCTATTTCAATCCAATTGTATTTACCTATAAAGACAAGCAGTTTAACAATATTGAAAAATAAAAGCAGTAAAAATACTAAAAGAACTGTATAGAATTTATACAGGTTCTAGGCAGGATTGTAAGTCCAAAGTTGGGCTGACTTAACCCCAGTTGGAGTTTTTATAGCAAATTGCACATGCACTTCTCATTCTCTATTTTAATACAAGATTTATTTGCCTACAAAGACTAGCAGTTTGGCAATATTGAAAAATAAAAAACAGTAAAAATACCAAAAAAAAATTGTATAGAATTTGGGTAACTTGTTGGTTCGTTAGATTAAGATTTTGTCAAGTTTGATACAAATCGTTTTACTATTTGTAAAATAAACCATAACAGTTGTAAAATCTTATCTTCCTGCTCAAATTTCTTGTAGATTTAAGATTTTTGTGATTTTTACATTATCATTGGAAGGAATTTTTTTTTCCAATAAAGGTGGCTAATATTCATTAAATTGAAGGTTAGCAATTATGATTTTGTGTTTCTTTGTGTATAACCCGCAAAAATGTCATTTTGGACTTCACACGCTTTTCGATGCGTCGCGACGAGTTTTAAGTGAATTTTTGAAAGTCGACGGAATTCGACGCAATAAATTTTATAAAATAGTGCGCAAAATTCTGATCGTTTTGATATATATGGCCTATATTAAATTATGTGTATTTTGAGAATTATAAAATTATGAAGAGTAGAAATGCCCAAACTACCCTTACTTGTTCCTTAAGCCGAAATTGTTTAAGCAAGGGCATAAGGGTCATTAGGCCATAACCCATCTTCATATTATGAGAAGAACCGAACCCTCCCTCTCATTTTCACGTACGCTAGGCCGAACCGAGTGGAGAAAGAGGGAGAGGTGGACGGGCAAGGCGGCGGGGAAGCTTCGGGCGACGGTTTCAGGTGGCCGTTCGTGGAGGAAATCGTAGGGAAAACCAAGGGAAGGCTAAGGTAAGTGTTTTGCAAGAGATTTCTATTCTTTTCCATGAGTTTTCTCTAAGGAATGAGAGTTAGGGTTTTGAGAAAACTTAATATTTCTTTGAGATAAGTTTAGGGAAAGGTAAAGGGATGTTTTTAAACCATAATGTGAGTTGTTTTCTTGAAAAAGGTGAATTTTAGAAATTAGGGTTTCATTCAAAATGGATTTTCTTTGGAGATGCCTTCTGAAGAATAGTTCCTAATGACATAAGGAAGTTTCTAATTGAAAAATAATGCAAGGTTGATAAAAGTTTTGAGTTTTGAAATTTACGGTTTTTCCCTAATCAAGAAATTTTTAATCCTTATGGTTCTAATTGGGTTTTGGAAGGATTTTAGAGACTAATTTATAGTTTTTACTTGAAATGCAAGTTTTTCTAAATTTTGGTTTAATTTAATCCGAAAATTAATTGTATTTTAATTATATTTTGAGTGTACGGAGAGATGTTGCATGCATCGAAACTAATATTTTGACTAAATCCTAATTGAGAGAGAATGAGAGTGAGAAATATCATGAATGGTGGAGGGGTTTAACTTGAAAACATAGACATGACATAAGGTTGAGTTCCTTAATTATGTGGGGACTAGTTATACTTACGCAATTTGTATGTCTCTTTTAGATATTAAACGTGTGGAGGGAAATGTTCGATTGGACAACTGGAAGTGGTGCACAAGTTGAGGTAGGTGAAATGGACATTCTTTTAAATTTAGAAAACTCTTATTTCATGCAAATACATAGAAATGACAATTTTCTTTTATGCTCGTTATGATATCCTTATGACACATGTTTCCTTATATAAGTTCATGGACACTTGATGTAAATGTAAAGTCTTTTCTATGCAATATTAGAATTTATGAATGAATATCATGCTTCTTTCTTTACTTATACTACACATATTTTCTCTTTACATGCAAATAATCATTGAGCATAGCAAGCATGTATATCCTTATGAAAGCATACACTTGAATAGCTTACATAAGCATCTATTATGAATATGTAAGTATTATGTGTATGTGCATGTTGACGCGGAAGTATCAAATGATAAATGAGCTCTTTTGAGCAATGGTAAAGGAGGCTCTTATGAGTTAAATGGTAAAGGATGTTCTTTTGAACCAAATGGTAAAGAAATGACCAATTTTATGTACATGATCAGTACAAGTGATACTTCCGAGACGAGTGTTATATTTACATATTAAGATATTATAAACATTTCATATTTATGTTATATGCATTTGAGACTATCATTTGAGGCATGAATGTTTTAAAAGGAAGAATGTAAAGATTATGAAAGAAATAAGAACTTGAAGGTTAAAGTAAAGACATGCATCACCTTTAGACAAAATAATGTAGTATGATGATTATTCTTTTACTATGATATCAAAGTATATTATAGTTTTCTTCCCTTGATTCTAAGCTTATTTGAATGCAATTTATACCTATTGAGTTGTGACTCACCCATGTTGTGGGACACTTTTCAGGAGGATCTGGTAAAAGAAAAATGTCAGATAGACCTTCCCTCATGTACCGTCGTAGGGAGACGACGGGCGACAGGTTTTGTTTTGTAATTTTTTATGTTTTGAATAGAAGGTTTAGAGATGAAATGTAAGGAAATGATTTTTGGACACCTTTCACATTTGTAAACTTTATGTTAAATTCTTATATTTATGTGTTGAATGGAAGAAATGAAAAATTTTATTTGGAGTTCTTTAGTGGCTCTTTCATCATGTTGAGAATGTTTTGTGTATGTTTGAAGATATGTTATTAGAATAATGTGAAATTTTTATTAATTCCTACTGTCATACTTTCGTTCCAACCTCGCATTTGAGAGCTAATCAGGCTGGGTCGTGACACTTTATGCATACCATCCTATGTTTAATGAACCCTAAATACTAAGATGTCCTGCATTAGTTTGAGCATGTAGAATGTACAACCAGGAAGCAATAATAAAATAGAGGAAGAGGCTAAAGAAATTGTGATAGGGCTTATAAGAAAAAAGATAGATATACAACAACAACATCAAGAAATTATCCCACCATGTGGGGTCGGCCTTTTTTCCATTATTTCAAATTAAGAGTCAATTTTTCACTTAAATCTAATAAAAGATGTCATTTTTAATGCTTTCTAACCTAGTCCTTTTAGGTCTAACTCTACCTTTCTTAACATAGACTAGATCTAATATATCTACAATTCCTAATCAGATCATCGAGAGGGTGACATTTTATGTGACCAAACCATCTAAAACAACTTTCTCTAATCTTACCTGTCTCAGGAGCTACTCCAACCTTTTCACGTATATACTCATTTCGCATGCTAACTCTAATAGTAAAGCCACTCATCCACTTGAGTATCCTAATCTCTACAATACTTAATTTTATGCTTCTCTTTTAAGGGTCAATATTCTGAGCCATAAAGTATTGCAGGACTCACCACCTTCATATAGAAATTTTCCTTAAATTTGAGGGGCACTTTTCTATCACAGAATAAGTTTGAAGCATCCCTGATGTAGAACGAAAAAGACGGCTCTTCCAGATCAGCAATTTCACGTTCCAAATCTTCTTAGCAAGAGGTGTCAAGTGCTTGATCTGTGGAATAGCAACTAGGAGAAGTCTGGACAGCAACGGATTGAATTTTGGGGCTGGCCAGTTAGTGTGGAGCTGCAGAAAAACTGTTGGACAACAGTTTAGCAGCTTTCAGAATTCTGGACAGCAACTCTACAGGGCGTAAACAGCTGCTAGAGTCCCGTCTGGATAGTATTATTGCTAAGCTATTGCTGAGTTTGGGAGTCCGGGTAACTTCCTTTCAATCCAGAATTTCGGGACAGCATTTAGGAAGATCCAGTGAAGGGGGAACACAACGGGATGTTGGGAGGAATTGGGGACTTATTGCCTTATTCCAACTCTCAGCCTAGGGAAGCAATTAATGGCTGGAGCTTTGATGTCACGGCTAGTAGGAAGGAGGAAAGAAGTAATTTAATGCCTTGGGGAATTAGTTCCTAATTCCTTATGTAGGGGCCGGCTGCTTGCATGAAATAGGGAATTAAATGGATCTTAAATTCCCCAAAATCAGTAAATTGATTTGGGGGATTAGAATAGGAATTAAAACTGAGGTGGGAGTAATGAGGTGATTTAATGCTCTTAGATTTGAATTTAAAATTCAATTGAATTTAGAATTCAATTGAATTTAGAATTCAAATGAATTTAGAATTCAAATGAATTTAAATTAAGAAGGAATTCATGACATTTAATTCATAATGCAAATTTGAATTTTGAATTTGAAATTCAAATAGCATGCAATCAAATCCCTTAATGAAGCATTAAAGTAGAGGGGACCACCAAGGGGCCCGCAGCATGGTGAGGGAGGAATTTGGATTTGGAGCCATGTGTATAAATTTGCTTAAAACGGTTTTAAACTTAGGAAATTATTTAAGTAACTCTATTTGAATTTGAATTCAAATATTGTTAACTTAAGAAACTTTCCTAAAAAAGCTTTCATAAATTAGGAAAGATTTCGAATCTCAAAATACATGATTTTGAATTTGAAATCAGCCCAAAATATGAACACCCAAATTAGGCAAAGATTTCAATTGGGATGAGGTGGTGGATGGTGGCTGGCAGCTAAAGATTGGGCCGGCGGTATGAGGGCTCGGTATGGAGCTTGGATCGTGAAGTTGAGGGAGGAGGAAAAGATGACAACAAAAAAAAACAACGATATAAAATAAAACGAAAGATGCAAAGAGGGTGGTGGATGAAGACGAAAATACAAAGAGAAAACTACGAACCCGGCCGTCTCCAAGGTTGGTGGGTGATTCGTTTGCCCTTCTCCAAGGGATCTCAAATCACGAGCTCGGACCCATCCTGTGGCTGGTGAAACTCTCGATTTCTCTCATAGAAATCTCACTCTCGTCTCTCTCAAGAAGAACACAAGTGTGGAACACAAAATTTTCATATACATTCACCCATCATATTACAATAGCTTAAGGCCCTATATATAGGCCATAACATGAGAAAATAAAAAATTACAAAAGTGCCCCTTGGGCCATAACACTCAAATAAACTAACCTAGGGGTAAAACAGGAAATAACATAAAGTAATAGCTAAAATTCATAAAATAAATTTTAAATAACAATTTAAATTAGAACCGTCGATTTACGACGCCTCCTGTGATAGATGCGCCAAATCTTCGTGCCGATGTTATAGTTTATTTGCCTGTCCGATCTCGTTCCCGCCTCGTCCATACGAGCTAACCGGGCCGGATCGTGACAAATATTACCATCAATTTCACCATCACTTCGAACAAAAGACCCAAGATATCTAAAACATATAGATCTAAACAAATATTTTAAAAGTTTTGTTCAGAAATATTTAATAAAGTAGAATTAGTACAAAATGTGACTACAATTTCAAAACAAACAGGATTTAAAAAGCACTTTGGCTTAAAGACTTCAGGATAGAGCACATTACAAGGAGAAGAGGAGGAATGCATTTTTGGGCAATCTAAAAGATGTTAAAAAGTGGTTATTCAAAAAAAAAAGTATAAGATATTGAAATGGAAGTCAAATCATTGACTTGGATTATAAAAACACACTATATAAATATTAAAAAAATAACAAAGATGAAGAAAGGAAGTTTCACCATACAGTAAACAGCATGAATATAACCAGGTTTTGTAGCTCTAAGAAATATAAGTGCCAATGTAATTGCACGAGAGCATTTGCGCAAGCCCCATGCTAATGTAGCAATAATAAGCACTTTCGTGTCTTCTTTATCTGCAAAAGAAGACAAATGAATTTAGAAGATAATATTGCAGCTATGTGGTAAATATTAAGCCTGGACGGGTGGAAAGAAGCTAACTAGCAAAAGGACATGCATATGAACATTGTCTACTCAAAAGTCAAAAGCATAATTTCTGGTCATATATTACAAACAAAGGCAAGCATCTAAGCTTTATAAAAAACAAGACAAAAAGAAGAAGCGCTCCATAGTCCTTCACAATGAAAAATACGTCAACTATAATAGAATCTCCTTCATGTGCAGGTCAAAAACTAGAGTGCATGAACTTATATCAAGAATCACTACAATCCAGTAATTAAATGAACATCAAACAAAATTAATAAAAGCACAAAAGGTCCAGAAAAACAAATGAATATTTGTAGATAATGGGTACACGGGATTTTTCAGTTTTTACTTCACTTAGTGATCTAATTCAAAAAATAAAAAACACAGGTATACATCATACAAGCACTTGAACAAAATCTACTGATGATAAAAAGCGGAAGAAAATCTGATGATAATAATGCGTAGTTGATGATAGAGACCTGTTATATAATACAACTTCATTTTCACTAATCTGAATTGATTGTTGAGCAGAAACTTCAACGATCTTCCCAACCTTTCCTTACGGGCACAAACCCATTCCCTTCCTAGTTTTGAAAGCGAGATTTCACCAGAGCTTAAAAGTAACAAGCACTAGCATAACAACATATTACACAAAACACGATTCAAATAGCACCCGCAACCTCATATTTAAAAAGAAAGAAGCCTATGTTAAAAATAAAAAAAACAAAAATGCAGTAAACCGCAAGGAAATATTGATGGGCATTGCATGCTCAGAGATTAGACCAGATCAAAACATTAAAATTTTTAAATGATCTCAACTAATTATTATTTTTTCTAGAAATATCCAGAATGGAACACTTCAATCATAATTCTAATCTAGCACTTATATAAGCCAGACCATAACAGAAGCAATAAGGGTAGAGACGTGCATCTGAAGAACTCATCAGAAAACAATAATAATAATAATTTATCTTATCAATATTCCACAGTGAAACTCTTAAGCAAATATTCAAATCCTTAGAAGAATAACTTGTAATGCACATCATGGAACTTCCATGACTTTATGGTGACACGCTTACTGCAACTATAGTCAGAAAAGATTGTTTAGTTGAAATTAGTTACAGTGGTAATCAGCACCAGATTTAAAAAAAAAAAACAAACAACAAAATCTTTTAGTTCCTTCCAAGAAAGGAAGTAGTATAACAAAAATTCAGTATGATTTAGTTAAGTTGGTCATCAGCACCACCTAACAGATTCAACAATACTTTAGCTCTTTCCAAAATAAAAAAAAGTTGTTGACCACCGAAGATAACCCACAAGTTGCCCGATCAAATGGAACATTAGCAAATTGATCCTCCTACTGCACCTAGAATATTAAAACGGGTCCAATAGCGCCGCGCCCCCTAGCTTTCTTTTTTTAAAAAAAAAAAGTGAAAGAGCTTTGCTTGTAGTTTCAGGCCATGTACTGAAATTCTAATATGGGATGGGCATAGGATTGGAAGCAATTTTACTGGCTGTTGTACCACAAATAATCTATATTTTCCAAATCATTATACTAAGCTTTTGTCGTAGCACAAGTTCTTATTTAACTAGTTGTGGTAAAATGTTAGTGTTGCACACGTTATGCTATGCATTGCTCAATTTTCAATACAAGGACAAAATTTGTACATGCAAATGGAGGAACTTTGGGAGTTCACACAAAAGCATGCACATTAAACTGTATATACACGTGTGTGTATTTGCCACCGCCTCTACCATTTTTCCTTTCTCTATATCCCCGTCTCCCTCGTGCATTGTTTTGCGCGTGAAAATTCTTCGAGTATAAAGTAGAAAATGGGAAGGGAACTTTGAGAGTCTCATGTGCAACCCATTAGCGTCATGTTGAAGAACTGAGTAGCATATTTTTGTACATTTTGGGCTACATTATCACGTAAAACACCTCAAACAAATATCCTAAGAACCTTTGATGTAGTAGGATGAAATTAATAAAACATGAATTGCATTGCACCAAGAACACCTTTATTTGTGTGGCATAATGGACTTTTGCCATCCGCTCAAGAGGGTAACAAAGCACTATCACAACTTAATTAAAATTATTGGAATATATATATATATATATATATAGAGAGAGAGAGAGAGAGAGAGTGATGAGGACATCAGATTCCGACACATGTACCATCGCCGGAGACGCAGATCGATGGCTACGATCCAAAGCCTTTATTTCTGATTTTCTTGTATTTTATTTATGCTTGTATTTCTATTTTCCTAGTTTGCCCCTATGGGCATTGAGTCACTTATGTAGTCCTGAGGACATTTGTGTCATTTTAGTTTTATTTTTATCTTGACTTATTTAAATGAGGCCTCATGCAATGTATGAGCTAATGTTGATGAATGAAATTTTGTATTATTAATCACTTTGTGAGTTCGTGAACTTTTCAAGATCTCTTTGTGAGTTCTTGAGGAGGTGGTGCTTGTGGATCTCTTTGTGCGTTCTAGTGGAGGTAGTGTTTGAGGTTTGTAGCTCCAGATTTTCCCGTCCCCCTAAACATATATTTCTCTTCTCTACCTAACCGAAATTTCCCTCCCTCCTAACTTCCCCCACCAGCCCCCAAAATTTCCACTGTCGGCCACTCCTGGCCGGTCCAGCCACCGACGGCTCACCCAGAGGCCCCGGTCGGTTGACAGCCTGCCGGCTCCAGGCCACCGTCCCCTTGCATCCAGCCTTGCCACCGCCCCCTTGATTCCCTCTCTTTTGAATTTCAATTCCCTCTTGAATAAATCACCTTCCTAATTGGTCTTTCTCCAATTAGGAAAGTCAATTAAGGGGATTAAAGCCTATTTTGAAATTCAAATTCGTTTCCCTCTCATATTAAACCAATTTGGGAAGTTACTGAACATTTAATCAAATCTGAAATTAAAATTCAGATTTGATTAGGTTTTATTTATTCAACCTTAGGCCCCACTTTCTTAATTCCTAAGCCTCTCTCTCCTCCCCATATGGCCGACCCTTTAATGGGCTTTTCTCTCTCCCAATTTAAATTCAAAACTCCCCCAAATCAGCCCCTAATTACCTCCTCAATTAACACCCCTAGCCATTATTGAATTAATTTGAAAGTTCAAATTAATCTCTCTCCAAAACCACTTGAAGCTGAAATTAATTTCAATTTTCTAAATTCCACCCTCCCCCGACTATCCCCTCACCTAGCCACCCTCACGGTCCACCTCCTCCTACCTCTAGCTCACGACCAAGCCCTCCCACGCCAAACCACCACTTTCACCCCTCCCCTTCCCCTTGCTTCCATCGGTGCTCCTTCATCTCCCGACAAGTATGCATGGCGGATCCGGAAGTTGATCACGGCTTCGCTTACAACGAACAAGGGGAAATTGACATCTTCCTCTCCCCCTTCTACGAGCCGGATTGGGAGTACGACGTCACCATGGAACGTTACGTCAATCGCATAGTTTATTGTCTTGCCGGAACCATCGAGCTCCAACAACCGAGAACTCCGTGGACTCTTATCGGACGCCCACCCGCTTCCCCAACTCCAGCTTCTTCCCCGGCAACTAGTCCTCTCGGCATCACTTGTATGATAGTGGTCTCTTTAAGTGTGCTTGCAATCCTCCTCCGCTAGCTTCCACTTCCAAGAGTTGAGTGAAGGATCTCTAGGTGAATGATCTAGATTTTAAACTTGAGGCTTTGTTATATTTGCTATTTGCATTACATATTAATCGTTGGTTGTTATTTTGCAAGTTCTAATGATCTCGAAGTGTAACCTATTTGCTATCGCTTAATCTCTCATGTCATCTTCTTGAACTTTCATTTGAGTAAACAAGAGTTTATTGGAAGCAACGCAAAGTTTGCTACTTTTATTAATCTCGTAATTGCAATTCTTGTTTAGTGCATTTAGTTTCACATCAGAGAGAGAGAGAGAGAGGGTCATTTTGGTCCCTTAACTCTTTAAAGGGTAAAGTATTTAAATGTTAATGTTCACCGTTCATATACTGTAGCTGAAAATTTGGAACCAGAAATCCACTCAGCTCGTCCTGAACAGCTTTGATGATTTGGAAGGCAGTAAAGAGAGGAGGTGAATGGTATAGTAATATAATAACTAGCTAATAAAATTATCCAAGTGTCCAAGTGAAACCATACAAAGTTCTCAGTCCAGCCACTCCAGTCAAATGAATACCCGATTGTAGACCTGCATCGGAGAACAAAGGGCAAAACCAAAGCTGGCCCGAAGAAAAGGAGAAGGAAGAAAGGACAAGCTAAGATTTTATGATAAAAAACTGGTTTTTTGTTATCCCGTCATCGAATTGACTGTGAATTGAAGTTGATGATTTTGAGATTTATATGAGGAGAATTCTTTTTAGTTAAAAAGGTTACTATGAGGATAAATTGAAATTTAATTGTCATAAGTTAAAACTTGATTTTAAATGCATTAAATCTACCATTCAGATGGTCTACAAACACAAAGGGTTTCAAGGTAGTGGAAATGAAATAGTTCATCCTGGATTTGATTGTCAATGTCCTCAATTAAATAAAATAAGCAATTTTAATTTTAAAAAACAACTTGATTGAAATTTTAATTTCAAAAAGCAATTTTAATATAATTTCAATTTCATGAAGTAATTTTATGTGAAATAATGAAGTATAAAATAAAATGAACTTCAGAAAGATCATGCATGTAGATAGGTCAGCAATGTCGCAACCTGTACAGATAAGGCAACAAAAGTGATCCCATAGGAAGGAAAAAAGGTTCTCTGTGTAAAATGTGTATGTGATGCGAACATCCAACCGTCCATGCCTATCTGAAGATTGACGGCCGTGATCGTCCTACGTTATCTTAAATTTTTATTTGAAAATTTTATTTTAATTATGCATTTCACTTTTACGCTTAAGGTTTAATCTTATGTAAGCCCCAGGGGAATG